TACGGTACATGTCCTTGACCGAATTTGAACGTGGGACCCTTCAGTGCTCAAGCCAATGCTCTATTCGCTGAACGAAACCAGTTAGGCCTACATTTTCTGAATGTTATACATGAGCTTTGGTAGGTTGTTTTGTTATTTACTTTGCCTCTAGACTTTTTTGAGATCTCTTTTGTTTTTGGCTACCCTGAAATTCTTATGTCTTTATTTATTATTCCTTTTACATAGAGACGAAGGGAAATGGGGGAGAGTCATGAGGGGGAAACATCAATCGGCTGCCATGTGCACAGTTGAAACTGGGTATGGAACCCACATTCTGATATGTGCCCTAACCGGGAATTGAACCCTTGACCATTCAGTACACAGGACGCTGCTCCAAACAAGTGAGTCACACCGGCCAGGGCATTCTGTAGTTCTTTGAAACAAAAGTCCAGGTTTTTGGAGAACAGGCCACAGGATCAATGAGAACTGAAGCAGAGTTGCTCATAGTGGTATCGCTGACCCTTTATTTTTATTTACAATATATTTTTATTGATTTCAGACAGTGAGAACAAGGGAGAGAGAGAGAAACATCAGTGATGAGAGAGAATCATTAATTGGTTGCCTCCCGCATGCCCACCAGCTGGGACCAAGCCCGCAACCCGGTCGTGCACCCTTTGTTATGCCCAGATTTCAAAATCCCCAAAGACAGACCACCAGGGAGCTGAGTCCGATGCAAAAGCAAAGAGTCTTTTATTCAAGCTAGCTAGCTTGGTCCCTCTGCCTCCTTCCTGACACAGTGGAGTGGCAGGAAGCAAGAGAGCCTGGAGTCTTGGAAGAACAAAGACTTTATAGGGCTTGGGGTTGGGGGGGGGGGATGAGGACTCACTCGGCCCACTGATTTGGCCGATTCTGGTTGGTTGAGTGAGGGCCGGGGGTTAATGATGCAAGGGCAGGGTGCAGCTAGGGTCTGGTTACACAAAGACAGGAGGTGGCTAGCATACTTTTGGCCTTGGGCTAGTTTCCTTGCGTTCCTATTCGCTGAGATAAGGGCTGGCTGAGTAACTGATACATTCTATAGCTTTTGCTTGAAGAGGAGTTAGGAACACAGTTATCAGTCCCGTTCTGTCCTTTCACCTTGACCTGAATCCAAGCTGGGACCCTTCAGTGAACGAGCGGATGCTCTATCTTCTGAACCCGACCGACTAGGGCTGACCCTCTTTTTAAAAAATATATTTTTATTAATTTCTTAGAGGAAAGTCGGACAGAAAGAGAGAGAAACAGTAATGATGAGAAAGTGTCACTGATCAGCTCCCTCCTGCATGCCCCCTACAGGGGACTTAAACCACAAAAAATGGGCATGTGCCCTTTAGTGGAATGGAACCTTGGACCTTTCAGTTGACAGGCTGACACTCTATCCACTGAGTAAACCAGCTAGGACTGACCCTTTCTTCCCTCCTTCCTTCCCTTTTCCCTTCCTTCCTTCCTTCCTTCCTTCCTTCCTTCCTTCCTTCCTTCCTTCCTTTATTTATTTCCTTGGTTATTTAGCTAGTTAGTTATTAACCCTTTTTTTGACCTTAGGTATCTCCAAATGTGTTTCCTCACCCAGTTTTCTGTCATCCTTTCTATGCAGTTGTCGTTATTTGGTATTCTGTATTACTGTTTGCCTTCATGGTAGTCTTATTCCTATTGCCTGTGGAATTTTTTTTCATGGATAGCTGTCTACTTACTCTGGGATGAAGAAAGATTCTCTATCTCTGATTCTGCCATCTTGCTGATGTCACTCTCATAGGTCTTTTGCATTTGATCTCATATGTGGTTTGTTGTTCGACCACAGTGCTGACCATACCTCGTTTTAGGTTTTCTTTTAAGATTTGCATCATTTATCTCATGCTGTGGCTCAACTTGGATTTAAGAGGCAAAATCTTTTGTGCAGCACAGGAGAAACATGACGTTATCAATGACAGGGTGGACCCAGAGGCAGTCTTGCCTTGGTGAAGGACCCTGGGGGTGGTTTTCATGCCTGGGCTCTGTTTTGTTCATAACTAGAAAGCCATTTTGTTCGACAACAAAAATCTTTTGTTACCATTGCCCACTCCTCTCCCAATTCTACTTCTTCTTGCTTAATGTTGACACTTTTCCCATGACTCAGTTTTAATAGTGATCATTCTACTCGGATTCCCAGCCCATGGATAACCTTAACCTCTTTCAACTTTGCACCTCTACCTCTATCAGACATCTCTGCTTTACTGCACTCCACTGTTGTTGCATGCCTGCAGAGGTTTAGAATGCACCCGTATTATATTGACGCTGAACAACATCCCGTGCTTTACTATGATTGATATTTTATGGGTTTCAGCACATTGCAATTATTTTACACAGACTCATATCGCCAGCATGAAAGGTCCTAAAGGAAGCCATTTGTGGAGTGATAATGAGCAGACCCTGCCTCTCTTCTTTTCTTGCAAGCCAGTGCTTCTGTCCTCCCTTGGTGAGACTTTCCTCATTCAGTGACCTTTTGGGCCATGTTATATATAACAGCCATTTCTTTCTTTTTCTCTATTTTTTTCTTATACCAGCCATTTCTTGAGAGTCTGACTCACTTGTCTTGAAAATCATTGTATGAAATCATGTCCTGTTGTGACATAAACAATTGTGATGAAGATGTTCTGTATTTATCAGGTCAACATGCACTTTACCTACGTTTCTTTTCTTCAGGTTGCTGCTGTGGAGGAGAAAGCGTGGAGGAAACGACTGAACAGAAGGTTTCTGTAAGATTGTCACAGACAAGGAATCCCAAGTTAGCCTTGTCTTCCCAGAAGAGCCACCCCTGTGAGAGTTGTGGGCTGGTCTTGGGAAACATTTTCCACATGATGGAGCTGCAGGGAACACAACATGGACAAATACTGTTGAGGTGTGGAGCATGTGCAAAACAATTTTTTTTCCATGCAGGATTTCACCAGCAGCATGTGAAAGAGAAATCTTTCACTAAAATTGTGGACAGGATCTCACTTGCAAACAACTACAATTTCAATGTATCCCAGAATTGTTTCACATGCAGGAATTTTGGGCAGGGTGTCCTTATGGGGTCAGGACATCTCCACCTAAAGGCTACTCAGACCAGGGACAGTCCAACTGCAATTTCCACGTCTGGGA